TATGAACACAGGAGTCTAATTGATACCAAGTCAGGCTGCTGGGTTCAGTATTTCCTGTCCTGGCAGACAGCAGCTCTCCAGGGTCTCAAGCAGAGAAAGCTTTTTCTCAGATTTGCTACCGGAGGTCATTTAACTGGACATGTTGGGAACTGAGCCTGGACTAGACTGCTGAGCCAGGGCCCCTCGCCTTAGAAAGTAGGCACCCCACCCCATACAGCTTTTGTTTTCTACAAAGAGTCCAGGCCACAAGCTATAAATACATCCAGAGATGATGTGGTGGCCCTGTGGGAAACGAATGTGTATTTTCAAGCTATTGACCAGGGAGAGAGAAGGACATCAGACTGTAATTGTAGAATCTCTAGCCGGTGCTTAGAGAAATGTGCAGGGTTACTGCGGCTGAATGAGGGTTCATTTACTTCCAGATCAAACCTGCCTTTAGTGTTAGAAGCCAGCCTTGCCAATAACTTCATAAAAGTCTTCATGAGTATGGACTTTTACTAGACTGGCTCTGCCTTGTGCCATGCAATGCGTTTGGCTTGCAGATTTGATGATGACATCTTGACTTGATTTCAGGGCAGCTCAGTGGTGCCGCATAAGCTTTGCATGCAGAAGGTCTCAGACTCAATCCCTGGCGTCTCCAGGTAAAGGATCTTGGGGAGCAGGTATTGGGCATGATCTGCCTCTGCCTGAAGCCATAAAGACGAGATAAAGCTAGACTGGCTGATGGTCTGGTTTGTTTCGAGGCAGCTTCGTATGTTCATAGGTTGTAGGATGCAGCTTGCTTTGGAGAGGAGCAGTCAGAGAGTGTGCGTGCCCCCTTGCATGCAGATGGTCCAGCTTCATTGTTTTCCTTTCTGTTTGGTTGTCTTAATCATAGAGACAAGCAGGGGTCTGCAAAAAAACCAATAAAAAATTTCCCCTTAGGGGGATTAAAAAAAGAAGTAACCAACAAAAGCTAATGGCGGGTATAGTGAATTCACTAGTATATGGCTACCTATCGTATCATATCTAGTTTCTTAAGAGATAATACCGGAGGTAATAGACACTCTTCACCTGTGGTAAATAGAACATATGTTAATGCTAAGTTTTATGTTAATATAATATGTTAGTACTAAGTTTATGAAGGACAGAATAATCTCTTTTAAGCCGATGTATTGTGATTTGAATGTTCCCTTGTAAGTGGTCAAGCTGATTTATGCTAATGAGCTCCTGCCCCTCTTTTTCTACGAAATGACCCCTGGAGACAAAAATTGTCATAGAAAGAAAGAAAGAAAGAAAGAAAGAAAGAAAGAAAGAACAGACCCTCTTTGGAGTCAGGAAACAATTCTTACTTATCAGATGAGTAACTATTCACAAGTCTCGTCGAAGGCATTTTCTGCAGAAGCCAGCCTGGTGTAGTGGTTAGAATACTGGACTACAGTCCAGGATAGGGGTGTTGAACTCATTTGTTATGAGCCAGGAGATCCAGGCTCGAATCCCCTCTGTACCACAGAAGCTCACTGCGTGACCTTGGGACAGTCCCTCTCTCTAAGCCTCTCCTACCTTGCAGGGCTGGTGTTGTGAGGATAAAAACGGAAGGGAAAGTGATGTCGTAAGCTGCATTGAGGAGAAAAGTGGGCTATAACTGTCTACATAACTAAAATAAAGGCAGTCAGTGCTGAATTCTCTACCCATTAGACCACACCAGTACAAACTAGGAACCAAAGACTGATGGCAATACTCATCCTGGATGTCATCTTCTGGAGCTAGCAATTTGCCATTCCTCGGTCTCCGAATTTATGTTTGGAGCACTTGATTCATCCATTGTTTCTCAAAAGATGTTTGTCAGAGGGGTTCTTCTTTATATAGTAAAGCAATCTTTAGTGGATTGATGCAACGTGCCAAATGAGCCAGTGGGGAATTTCACATTACCCAGTTTCACCCGGTTTCAAGCCGGTAATGATCCGTTTTGAAGTGAACCGGTATAGGGCTGCCATTTCACACACGGCTTTCCCCTTCCGGTAAAGAGCTGGATCTGAAGCGGTTTGCCATTTCAGACTGCACCGCTTTTTCCTGCTTTTCCCCTGTCGTTTTTCGCCCGTGCGGACGATCTCCGGCTTTTTTTTTAACGTTCGCTTTAGAGCGCTATAGCGCTATAGCAGTATAACAAAACACCCCATGCATTCCAATGGGATTGAAACAATGCTATTCCGTTATAGCGTTATAGCGCTATAACGCTGTAAAGCAAACATTAAAAAAAAAGCCGGAGATTGCCCGCGTGGGTGAAAAAAGGCGGGAGAAAGCGCATCGGAACCGGGAGAGGGAACTGAGGAGTACTTGGAAGCGGTTGACAGGTAAAACGCTTCAGCCCCGTTTCCTAAACGGGACAGAAGCGATTGTGTATGAAATGACAAATATATTCCGGAAGGGAACCGGTTCTCAAACGGTTCTGTCTGTAATGACAGACCAGAAACCATTTGGGAACTGTTCCTCTTCCGGAATATATCGCCTGTCTGAAATTCCTCAGTGTGTTTGCTAACTGGTTTTGAATATTATAGGGAATCACTGACTCGTTTAGAAAAAGAGGGTATAATTGTAGGCGTTGCTTTCACTCCTATGTTGGTATTAAATTGAGCTTTTGTTGATAAGCCTGTTTGTTGAGAAGATACCCTCTCCAGAGACCAGCTTGAAGTGGTTCACAAAGCAAAATACTACAATAAAATCATAAAAATAGCAAGGAAATGAAAAGCAACCATAAAACCCAGGCAGGGTATAAAAACAGCTTAAACCCCAGCCAGGACTTAGGGTTACCATATTTTGAAAAGCAAAAAAGAGGACAAATTTCCTGACTGACTTCTTTAAACAAGTGATCACTATGACAAATCTCAAATACCCCTTCTATTTAAGCTGTGCTGATTGCTACTAACTAGAATATTCCTAACCTTCCAACCCCCAAAAGAAAACATTTTCATCTGTTTTTTAAAAGGAGCCCAAAAGAGGACAGACACACATACACAAAAAGGTCATGTCCAGTGTTCACCCTCTAAGTTGAGCTAATGTGAGTTAGCTCACAGTTTTTGAGCCTCTGGCTCACACATTTTTGTCTTAGCTCAGGAAGGACGGCTCCAGAGCAACCTAATTTATGCAGTCGGCAAATCGCTCACCCACAACTTTATTGCCAGTAGCTCACCAAGTAGAATTTTTGCTCACAAGACTCTACAAACTTAGAAGGAGCATTGGTCATGTCTAATGCTCCCTCTAAACTGTGGAGTCCGGTGAGCAAAAACCCTACTTTGTGAGCAACTGACCTTAAAGTTGTGAGCGAGCGATTTGGCTACTGCGTAGATTAGCTCGCTCTGGAGCCATCCTTCTTGAGCTAAAACAAAAAGGTGTGAGCTGGAGGCTAAAAAACTGTGAGCTAGCTCACGCTAACTCAGCTTAGAGAGAACACTGGTCATGTCCCCTATAAAGAGGACATCTGGTAACCCTACGTGAAAACAACCAATAGAAATGTTTTGGTCTGCAGTCTAAAGAGGAGTGAGGAAGATGCCAGGCGGGCCTTAAGGGGGAAGGGCTTTCCAAAGACAAGAAGAGCCCCTGACTTTGATTGCCACCTGCCTCTCATCTGCAGGTAGGGCACAGAGACCGGGTTTAGGAAGATAACTTTAATTGGCAGGCTGGACAGAACCCTAGTGTAATTAAAAAAAAACAAATCATAAACATTTCCCACCCTGCTGGGATTTGGTGTGTGCAGAGGAGAAACCACCCAGTCTTAGAGGTCAGGTCGCTTGCTGCTAGAGCAAGAAGTGGTTTCCTCAGTGTGGAGCCAACACGGTGCTTCCAGGACGTACATCCGCACATCCCTCAGGCTCTCAGAGATGCTGCAAAAGCACCTGGATGGCTGGATGCAGCCTCTGGCCCTCCAGTGGTACCCACCACCTCTGCCCTTGAAGTCACTCTTAGCTGTTGCTGTAGGCTTTGGGGTTCCCAACAAAAATAATGGGCAGTACGAAAGAAAGTCCTGTTTCATATAACATGTAATTATTTTATGGGATTTGCTGCCATGAGATGTCGTGGTGACCATTTGCTTAAGATGGTTTTTAAATGGGGATTTGCCACAGTCATGGAGAAGAGATCCACCAGTTGCTACAAGCCACCACAGCTGGAAATGGAACCTCCATGTTTGCAGGCATTATCTATATATCTAATAGCCAAGTTGCCCCCTGGTGTGCGGATACTTATTTCCGCACATCGGGGGCAGCTGGAGGGGAGGGAGAGTTTTGTGCACACGTGGGGCGGTCCCCAGGTGTGCACAAAAATCTAAAAATGCGATAAAGGTATCGGGGGGATACTTAAATCCCCCCAAAAGTGACAGAGCGTCCCCTGCGCATGTGCAGGGGACGCTCTGCAAACTCCCTGAACGCTGCCGCCGCTTGGGAGCGGGCTGCGAGGCCCGGGCGGCTAACAGCCGCTCGGCCCTCGCTTGGGAGCCGGGCGGGGGGAAGAGCGAGGCCTGGGCAGCTAACAGCCGCACAGCCCTCGCTTGGGAGTCGGGCGGGGGGGAACAGCGAGGCCCCGGCGGCTAACAGCCTCCCGGGCCTCGCTTTGGAGGTGGGCGGGGGGGGGAGAGCGAGGCCCGGGCAGCTTGCAGTCCCCGGAAACTGAGGTGGGAGGTGGAGCAGACGGGGGTAACTGGCAGGATGGGGGGGAACTTACCTCCTCCTGCTGCTTCCTCCTCTGCTTCAGAAGTGTGGAACTTCCCCCCCGCGAGTATCACGGGTCCCGCCCCTTGTATCTCTGAATATCTGATGCTGGAGAGCAACAGCCAACTAGTAAGGGGCAGGAGTTCCGTGCCCTACTTGTAGACCTTCCAAAGGCTGGTGGTTGGACAGTGTGGAAACCAGGAGGCAGGACGAAAGGGACCTTTGGCCCGATCCAGGGCTCTTCTCCGGTTCTTATGTCTTTTGGGTAAGATTGAACCAGGGAGTAACTGACTTCTGTTTTGTACCATGGATTCCCAGGTGTGTGACGGATCACAATGTGGACAACACAACAGAAATACTTCGGGAATGGCTCACCGCAATGGAGGGACACTACCGACACATTGAGTGGAGAGCAGAGGATGAGCCCAGGTGAGGCTGGACGGCTGGGTCGACCTTGCCGAATCACATAAGAATTTTTTTTTCCCCTAAGCGTAGATACAGAACAGAAGGAAGATCATATAGGAGAGGCAGTGTGGTTGCCGTGGCTGAACGGGATCAACTGCTGAAACAAACAAAAAATCCTTGTGCGGGACAGGGCTTCAGGAACCTTACTGATAAGGAACAGAGAGATAACAGGAGAGGACTCTCTCAAATAAATTTTAAGAACTGGTGAAAGTAAACTGGTAATGGGTGATGTTGTGATTGACGTTGTGACCACAGTCCTCCCAATAGGATAAACCTTCACCATTTTTAACTGTTGCTTGTCTCTTATAGCTCTTACGCTGATGAACTTGGACCCAAACATTGGAGTCATGAGCGCTTTGAGCATGTCATGAGGCTTAAGCAGGGAGCTCTGAATTTTGCCCGGGCTGAGCGGGCTGATTATATTTTGGTAAGACGATTCAGAAATTGGAGGGGCAGGGGTGGGGTGTGTGTGGGGGAACGGACACTACCTAAGGTTTCCTGGACTCTCTTCACAGCACTCTGTTTACTGGAACACACTTTGCTTTTCATCTGGCCTCCCTATTCCACTGCACAACCTCTTGTCTACTTCATTTCCTGTCCCTCCCAAGAACATCCTCCACAAACCTCTTTCCTTCTTCCCTAGGCCAGTTTGCCGCCTTTTGACATAGTCTTTCCCATCCTTCATAGGGTTTCTAACCTCCAGGTGGGTCTAGTAACAAATAAATATACACTGCAAAAACCTTTTAGCAAACTAATGTGTTCTATTTATGGTCATCATTTAGTAAAGTGCATAGTGTATCATTATTTCATCCTAGTCAGGTATAAGTATTCATTACATTAATAAGCAATAACATTCAATACATACCGATTGTTAACTACCAGACAATTTTGCATCAGTGTTTTAAAAGTCAAGCCTCAACGTCAACGGGAGTTCGTAGAAATATAAGCCCACTTCTCCTTGCATGAAGTCTTCCAAAAAGGGGGACAGCCTTCTTGTATGAATTTTTTTTGCCAGTCCTACAGAAGACTCATTGTTATGTATTCATTGTATGAAATGTAATGTTAAGCTTGAGACCAGCCAACTAGTAAGGGGCAGGAGTTCCGTGCCCTACTTGTAGACCTTCCAAAGGCTGGTGGTTGGACAGTGTGGAAACCAGGAGGCAGGACGAAAGGGACCTTTGGCCCGATCCAGGGCTCTTCTCCGGTTCTTATGTCTTTTGGGTAAGATTGAACCAGGGAGTAACTGACTTCTGTTTTGTACCATGGATTCCCAGGTGTGTGACGGATCACAATGTGGACAACACAACAGAAATACTTCGGGAATGGCTCACCGCAATGGAGGGACACTACCGACACATTGAGTGGAGAGCAGAGGATGAGCCCAGGTGAGGCTGGACGGCTGGGTCGACCTTGCCGAATCACATAAGAATTTTTTTTTCATTATCCAGCTAACATTCATGGACGGAGTACTCCTGTCATTCTCATGCAGCTGTCCCCCTTTTTGGAAGACTTCATGCAAGGAGAAGCGGGCTTATAATTCTACAAACTCCCGTTGGGGCTTGACTTTTAAAACACTGATGCAAAATTGTCTGGTAGTTAACTATCTGTATGTATTGAATGTTATTGCTTATTGAATGTAATGAATAGTTATACCCGACTAGGATGAAATAATGATACACTATGCACTTTACTAAATGATGACCATAAATTGGTTTGCTAAAAGGTTTTTGCAGTGTATATTTATTTGTTACTAGACTCTCCTAACACTGCAGCTCAGGTTCCTTCAACCTCCAGGCGGGGCCTGGAGATCTCCTGGAATTACCACTGATCTCTAGACCACAGAAATTAGTTCCCCTGGAGAAAATGGCCGCTTTGGAGGATGGACTCTGTGGCATCAAAGCCTGCTGAAGTCCCTCCCTTCCCCAAATCGAATCTGCACCAAAATCCTGCCTCCCCCAGGCCCCCCCCTCCAAATCTCTAGGAATTTCCCAATATGGAGCTGGCAGCCCTGCCCTTCTACCTCACCTGGCCATTGATCTTCCACTCCTGGAATTGCCATTTTCAGACTCTCAAAACCACTGAGTGAAGTTTTACTGCCTGTCTCGATGTTTTTTCCTGGGAGGGTGTGCAGTACCTCCCAGCCTCCCTCAGCTGGGCCTACTTTCCCAAGATGGCTTCCACTGAGGTAATATGTGTTTTCCTTAATCCCTTCCCTAGTTCACCGACACAGACAGCATCCTGACCAACAACCAGACTCTGAAGTTCCTCATGGCACAAAACAAAACTGTTATTGCCCCCATGTTGGATTCCCAAACGTACTACTCCAACTTCTGGTGTGGGATCACTCCTCAGGTAGGCTAACGGGAAGAGCTCTGTGTTTCATTTATTTATTCACGTCATTTATAGTCTGCCTGTCTCACTGAGACACAAGGCGTATGACACAACACCAGTCAGTGCGATCAGTAGAACGTGTGTGTAAAGTGCCATCAAATCACACCCGACCTCATAGGGGTCTCAAGGAAAGAGATGTTCAGAGGTGGTTTGCCATTGCCTGCCTCTGCCTTGTGACCCTGGACTTCCTTATCATAGATCATAGAATGTTAGTTTGGTGTAGTGGTTAAGTGTGCGGACTCTAATCTGGGAGAACCGGGTTTGATTCCCCACTCCTCCACTTGCACCTGGCTGGATGACCTTGGGCAAGCCATAACTCTGGCAAAGCTGTTCTTGAAAAAGAGCAGTTTCTGTCATGAGCTCTCTCAGCCCCACCTACCTCACAGGGTGTCTGTTGTGGGAAGGGAAAGGAGTTTGTAAGCCGCTCTGAGACACATTTGGGTAGTGAAAGGCGGGGTATAAATCCAATATCTTCTCTTCTTCTTCTTCTTAGAGTTGGAAGGGACCTTGCAGGTCATCTAGTCCAACCCCCTGCACTCTGCAGGAGCATAGCCGAAAGATAGCCCTACATACCTTCCCATCCAAGTACTAATCAGGGCTGATCCTGCTTACCTTCTGAGATTTGATCTGATCTGATCAATAGAATAAGATTTCTCGTAAGCGGAGTAATAGGACTAGGTTTACAGAAATCTGAAAACCATGCTAAAGTATTAGACATGATATGTTAACAACGCCAAATGGTGGAATTACATAGGTAGATAACAGTGTTGCAAGAGCAAGATAATACATACATACATACAGTGAACAGATAATATATACTACACAGTGTACCCCACAACCCTATTCCCTTTATTAAATCACCTTCTTGAACTACTGCAATTTAATATAGTCTTTTTGCCTTCATAATGGTGTCCTGAACAATTATGTTTTACATATTGGCAGAATGCAAGACGTGTGGGCATCTTTCTGACCTTTTGCAAGCAGAGTCACAAAGCTGATTGCCAAAGTCCAATTTCAGACTCTGTGAGTTAATGGGCTACCCAGGCCCAGTGCCGGCTCCCAGATATCTCTGGGTCTAACTCATGGTGCCATATTGTTTTAGTGGAGGATGTTTGTGCAGCTGTTTCATGATGTTCTGGCTCTGAGGTTTCACAGGTTTGTGGCCTGTATGTCGGGCTCCTCAGAAACCCAATGCCTGTCACTCTTAGCATCTTGAAGGAAAATAATGAGATCATGTGCCTTTCAACCATAATCTGGGACCGTGGGGCTTCCCCACCGGTCTCATCTAGTTATGAAAACCCTGACTTACTTAGCTTCAGCAAGGTTTCTGGATCATGTGCCTTCTCATATTCGGGGCCCATAACCTCTTCTGCTGCCTTTCCATGGCTGTAGGTCTTCCAAGACTTCTCTTTTGGTAATTCCAGCACTGTGCCGAGGTGGTAGAGCAAAGGTGTTTCCTGGTAGATTTCCTCCATCTTCTCCCAAGGCTGTGGATGTCTCCCTGAGGCACCTCAGCCTTATTTGAAAGCTCTGCAAGACCTGTGTGGTGTGGCTCTTATTGGGCAGGATCAAGCTCTTACTGGGGTAGTGATAGTGTAGTGTACTCAATAGCTGTCATTAAATGCCTAAACATGTATGCGAATCACCTCATAGAAAAGCAATGTTAAGCTTCGTCCTGGGCTAGGATCCTAATGCACCCAATCGCATGGCTAGCCCAGGAAGAACCGACCAATAGCACATCAGCAAGCTCCCTGAGCGGGAACGTTGATGATTGGTCCTTATGAAGACAATCTCATTGGTTGAAAATGTACAGTAAAGGCGTGGCTATATTAGCCGGGAGGGTTTAAAAAGGGAACTGCTTTAATGCAAAAGCTGTTCTGGCTATCTAATGTTGATCCGTGTTGGAGTTAGTTGTGTTTGAGTTGACGAATAAAGCTATCTCTTTACTGAATCACTCTCCGACTTCTTTGTTAAGCGAACGACTTAACAGATAGTGCTCATGCTGTGAATTCACAGTCTCAAATGTCTTTTGTGCACGCCACAGGGTTATTATCGCAGGACGGCAGACTATTTTCCCACCAAGAACCGGCAGCGTGTTGGATGCTTCCCGGTCCCCATGGTATTCGCTGCCTTCTTGATTGACCTCCGGAAGGGCGAGACGGCAAAGATGGCCTTTTACCCTCCCCATCCCAGCTATACCTGGCCGTTTGATGACATCATTGTCTTTGCATATTCCTGTCAAGCTGCAGGTGAGATCAGGAGGGAGAGGTTGATGGTGCTGATTGCAAACATTTTGGCATTGAACACATGAAGCCGCCTTGTACTGAATCAGAACCTTGGTCTGTCAGGGTCAATAATGTCTACTCAGGCAGGCAGCAGTTCTCCGGGGATCGTAGGGAGAGGCTTTCCCTTTTTATTTCTGGGCACAACTCCAGGTGCTGGTCTTGACCCTCAAAACCTTCTGTTAGTTAAACATCACCCCGGTTCATTTGAGAGTTCTCTGGAGGAAGGATCTTGGTACACAAAGGTGAAAAAGGTCCCAAGTCACTCGACTCTCACTAAAAACTAAATTCCCCTATCAACCAGTTAATTAATTAGGCCAGTTTGGTTACAACATACCTGGTTTGGGAACAACATACCTGAAGGACCACCCAGTTCCTATGGTCATCTTTGGAGTTCCAGCTTCAGGCGCTCCCACCTGCTGAGGTTAATTGTGTGGCAATACAGGAAAGGGCCCCAGAGCTCTGGAGCTCTCTCCCCAGGGAAAGTCATCTATCCCCTTCTGTTGCCATCTTCCCCCCATGGGTGAAGACGGTTTCATTCGGCATCCCCTCAGTGATCTCTCCTGGCTAACCAATGTTTTAAGTGCTGTTTTTATGTTTCGTATGCATTTTAACTCTCTTTTTAAACCAATGATGTGTGTCTGGGGGGTGATTGCAATGGTTTTAAAATGTGATTTGACCGTGTGTGCCTTAACTCGTTAGCTGCCTTGATGGCCCTTGTGAGGGCAGTGTCAGGCTCAGCAGCAAGTAAATCTCCACACACGTTTCCAAGGAAGCGTTATGCTTTATTAGATTACAAAACTGGTACCCTATCCACAGGATTATTGTTAGGGATAACCAAGGGGCGGAAACATCCCTAGACAGGACTTTTTTTGTAGGAAAATCCCCAGCAGGAACTCATTAGCATAATGGGTCACACCCAACAGCAAAACTCATTAGCATATTAGGCCACACCCCTGACAGTGCAGCTCATTAGCATATTAGGCCACACCCATGCCTTCCCTTGGCTTGCCCAGGCGCCCCATGACTGTGGGGCATCCGGGCAAGCTGGCCCTTGGACAGGCTGGGGAAGGTACGGGGAGGCATTTAAATGCCTCAGAGTAGCCGGGGGGG